CTTCAAGGGCTTCTTGGTCCAGAGAGACATATTTATCTTTACTAATGCTGTCATTTACAAAGCTTGCAACTAAGACGTTACTAATTTCTTGAATTCATCTAATAAGACCAGCAAAGGAAGTGGTTAGAGGTGGAAACTTGTACCATTGATGCCACTTATCACGTGACTTACACAGAGTGCCATTAAATTACAGACTTTACAGTACTTTTCGTGACTTTGATTTACATGAAAAATTATGGATTTTAATTAAATTTTTTTTCTTTCCTTTTAGTTCTCTGCCCAACTGCCCACTCTTCCAGGATACTGATGATTACTTGAATTTCAAAGAGCTGGAACCAAAGGACCCATATTATGAAGTCAAGAGAGAAGAGGTTGTGAAAAAGGTATGCATAACTCCACGTACCAGACTTCTTGCACCCTCTCACCTATGTTTATTTTCAGAATCTGATAAGAAAAAATTGAATTTTAAACAAAATGATACAAACAGAAAAAAATGTGTATAACTCCCTGCTGCCACTGTAGAGGTTCTATTGTGGCATTTGTAGCACAAGGAGAGGTAAGTGTGCAGTCATAGTCACTGGTGGGGGTTTGGGAGTCAGCCAAACTTTACCTAGCTACACATGGACAAGGTACACTTGGTAGACATGGCTTAGGGTATCTTTTTACCAAGCACCCATTCAGAATTTCATATGAATACATTATTGTATTCAAAGTCTGAAAATATATATTTGATTGTAACAAAAATTGTTTTCTGTTTAATAAGTTATTCTAAAATATTGATTTTCAAGTAAGGGCACTTCATCATTACAATAATGATCAGAATAAAAATAGTATTAAGCATATTCCTCCTTTATTTATGCATGATTTCATGCAGGGTTGACTGTACCAATATTCTCAAAGGACATTTTCAGGTCTTATGATGTATAGCATACTTTATAGATTTGACATATACAATTACTCTTTTTTGTATGAGTGCAAATTGAATGATAGATAAATGTGATTGGTTAGCACCCTGTTGTGCCACATCAGATCCAAAGATTGCATGTTCTTATGCCACTGGATTTGGGTGATAGGAAAAAAATTGGCTGAGGGGCAGATGTTGGGAACATCTTGTCATTGCAAAGTTTTTGCAATGACAAGTGTTGTGTGATGAGGATGTCTTGTCATGAGTTCACAGAGTACTTGGAATGACTGCATGTTAAGGAAACAATGGGTTAAGGAATAAAGAATAGTAGTAATACAGTCACAAGGTCCTCAGAATTTCTGTGACACTTCCACTATTCTCACTGACCTACTCAATTTTCTAAACTTAACCTAGTGCCACCAGGAAAATAAAATGTACACTATAATATTATTTTTTTGTGAGTTGTAACATAGATGGCTCTCTAAGTGCTTAGCCGATTAGTAGACCTCATGACCTCATCTGATTTGACCTTTCCTTGAGTTTATGGGGAAAAAGTTCTTTTTATAAATGTCAGGATCAATGTTATTATTATTCTGTTATTTACATTACTAACAGCATTATAAGATAAAAGAAAATATTTCCAGAAATCAAGGAAAGGGTTAACTAGGTGAGATAGTTACTAATATGCCAATCATCAGTTGTACCTAAGTACTTGTGGAGCCATCTATGTGTAAAGACAATAAACTAAACTCAGTAGGCATGATACGTGTGTACAGGCCATCCCGGGGTACATCATGAAGCCAATACGAGTTAAAAGCACAGATGGAAGGAAAAGAAAAGAAGAATAAAAAAATGTAAGAGTTAATAATAATTAACAGTCATATTTCTTGTATAACAAACCTACTGCTTGTTGAAAACTCATCTTTTTTTCTTTTCTTTTTTTCTTAGTTTTATGTATTATTATTTATTAGTATAAAGTGCACTCTTTTCCCTTCCTAGTAACTTTTAATTTGCAAAGCAAGCTCCCCATCATTCATATTCATTATTTATTTCCAGTTGGAAACCCTGCAGCAAGAATCAGCTGCCCTGCTCCAAAATGTGCCTGGCCTTAACCCCATGGAAGTTCCAACTGAAATGATGCTCAAACCACCATTCACTACCTGAAACACTTTCATTTTCCTCCATTACACACCTCCCCATCCCCCCCAAAAAGGGGGGGGGTGACACCTAAATTATATTGCAGTTTTGCCTTCACTGTGGCAAATGACACACGATGTAAAGTTGATCCTAGTAGACAATCCATACTGGTTTGGAGATCTTAGTCCAGTCTAGGGAGACTTCTATATGTTTTCCCAATCGTGTCTCCTTTAGGAATATTGTGCAACACCCTGCAGATTCATTATGAATACTCATGTGATATATGTTGTGAAGAGGTTAAGCACTGATTTTATTTTATGAAATAGAAATGAATTAACAAAGATTTTATGGTTCTAGAACAAATTCTTTTGAATACGAAGATCTAAGAATTATTACATGTCTGGTAATCACTTATTAATTTGTAAATTAATCCAACACATTTACACACTGTAGAACTTATTTTAATAAACATGTGTAATATTTTATAATATTGTATGTCCTTAACATGAAAAAGTTTATCCTATTGGTCACTGCCCACTGTAGTTTTTTGCTATTTGTTTTTGACAGATAACTCTAAGGAGTCAATTGGTAGGTGATAGTGACCTCACCTGATTTCCCCATTGCTTAAATTTTTAGGATCCTCCCCCAAATGCTATTAATATTGACATTATTAATCTACAGGATCTGAAGGCTTCAGTTATCACAATGGCCTAAATATGGGTAATAGGCTTACTTAATCAGCTACTTTGATGGGTGCATTGCTTGTGTGGTGACAAGACTATGCCTCCCTTTTGGGATGTTATTTATCCATTCAACATTAGCTTTTTTTTTTTTTTTTTTTTTTTTCCCCATTTTCCAACTACTGTATTTGTCATTTGATTTGCTTTATCCCGATGGTAATAGACCGTTTTCCTTGCACAGACTCCACATCATTTCTCCAGGTAGTCCATAAACCCAGTGCAAGAATAGTAACAATAAGTAATACTGTTATTAGGGTTATTTAAATTTTATGTAAAACTACCTAAGCCAGGAGTAGGATCCTTTTCATGACATAATGGTCACATCATCCATATCGCTGGGTTAATGACACTGATTATTATACTTTCTTACTTTATTTATACTTTCATGCAGTATGTGAAAATGCTTGACTTTCCTTACTTCGAAAAAGGAATAAATAATCAAATATTCACATTGAAAATGTTTAATTAAAATACAGGGTGTGTGATTAATCCTTCAATGACAGTATCAGAAATCTCTCTTGAGTCACTGATTCCGGTGACTTCTGGCAACCGTCCTGCCTTTTGGCCTAGGAGTCCACTATATGTAGTGGAACTTTCTGCTTGACTCATTTTAATGAGTCATGACAACTATAGCTGTACCCGTCATGAGGAGTTGGTTTGTTATGACGGCTACAGGCATGGCCCCACAGCATGAGGTTAAATGATGTATGTTCAGCAAGTGTGTGAAAGCACCAGAATTGAAGACATTACTTGAATTGGCATTTTGATTGCTAATGAAATATAAAAAGTAAAGACTTCAATAACATGCACTGATGTATGAATAGACCCTTTCTGATCATCAGTTAACCATTTCATTTGTCAGAAATTATTTAATTTCTGCTACATTAATTTCAAACACTGGGAGACAAAATCAATAATGAAATGGTCTTCTGCACAAGCTCATGCAGAGTTCCTTTATTTATTTTTTAGTATTTACATTATCTAAGTATAAATTTCATTGAGGTGAAAGCTGTGATTCCAAAACGTACAAAAGCATATTCTATCTTTCTTATAGCAGGTTTGAGCAGTGATATCTAAGCAATGTAGAGAGAATCAAAATAGCCTTTGCTTACTGTGCCTCTGAATACCAATAGACTGCTTCATCTATGCAAAGGAACACTTAAATATAGCTTAAGCTTGGATAAGGCCATGAGAAAGGCTTTTGCTTTTTATAAATCTTTAGATGGCTTGCAAAACTTGCCTTAAACTTAAACATGAAATATCAACCAGTATAATTACTGGGCTCTAATTATGAAATCACATTAAAAGTTATGAGAAAAATAACCTTTGTCTGCCTTGCCTGAGCAAATATAAATACAAATACAAGAAAAGAAGAAAAATGAAAATAAAAAATACAATGGCCAAAATACTTCACATACATTCTTCTCTTTTTGTATCAAATTTTCTTGAGTACAAGTACTCTTTGAATTACTGCATTTCTCTTAGTTTGGAATCCGAGAAGTTCAGTTCTTGATACATTCCTCTGCATGTTCTTCACTCAAAATTTAAACAATCTTTTTTCCCCATTTACTGCTTAGTTAACCTACACAATTATGAAGCAAGCATATCCTTAACTTTCAGTTGCAGTTGTTACATGCAAGTGTACCATATTTTGATATCACTGTTGAACTAATGATTTAACAATTCAAAAGAATAATGTTGATGGATTTAAACCAAAATCATAAAGGTTAGAAAACAAAAAAAAGTCTTATAAATTGGAAAAGTTTATTCCTAGAATGAAAGATAATGCCCATTATGAAAAGTATACATATTGAAGTTATGCATCATCATTTTACAGCCTTAACAAACCTTTGGTCTTTAAAGAATACTTGTGCAAAGAAACAAGGGATGTGCATGGGAAGACAGTAACCACCCAACTCACAAAGAAAATATAGCAACACGTTTATATTTTTCCTTTATGTATAATTCAAAAGGAGAATACACCTTAAGAAAAGATAATTTTCCTTTGTAAAAGTCCTTAGGCTATTAAACAAAGAATGGAAAAGGACCCATTCCTTCAAACCAAGAAGAGATAATAATACTCGAGTGTTAGCATCAAATTTGACTAGACTACTGTCTGAAAATCTTTCATGAAAAAGATGTGCATCTGTGAAAAAGCTCATAAGCTAACAAAAAAAATATGTACATCAGTCTCAATAGAACCAGCTAATTATTCACATTCTCTTCTATAACTTCAGCATATGGATGGCAAGAATATGTTCAACCATTTAATCTTCCGCAAGCAACACACCTAGTTTCTCCTGTAAAGGAAAGGCTATTTTATATTCAAATTTATAAATCTATTACATACTCTTGAGTATTTTACTTATCGTGCAAAGGAGAAAGATTCAATAGATCCATTATTATTAGTGAGTCTTTTCAGAAAAACTCAAGAATACTGAAAAATATTATGAAAGAGAACAAATAATCCCTGCATGCAAGAAATATAACTAACACTGGTATCACATCATAAGAATTCAGCTCTGAAGATGTAAAATTATGTAGCACACTAAGTACAGTCATGGCAAAAACTAGTCACACAGGCTTTGAATTATATCTCAAACATCCAAATAATGTGACTATTATTATCTAGGTTAGGAAGGTGTCAAAGCTTCATGTCTTTTATCCATGACTGTACTTATCTTGCACTGTCGACTTTCTTCATACCCTTTATACAAAGGCCACAATGAACTCAAATCAAAGTACTTAATATTTTATTGGTTGTATAAATGTAAAACCTAGACAACACCAACTAAAGTCACCTTAATCCTTCTTGATGGCATCAGCAGCAACTCGTGTGGCAGAGTCAGCCAGCTCGTTGATCTTGTCGGTCACCTTGGACATGGCTGTGTCGATCTCCTGCTGATGCTTCATGAATGCAGGTTTGATGACACGGTTGTAGATGAATTCCGAGCCATTCCAGGAGACTGGCATGAAGCACCATACCAGGAACAAGCACTGGAAAAAAAAAAAATCCAATAACATTTAATGTCTTTTGTAATATTCAGAGACAAACTCTACATAGATTACTACATATCTTAGCTAACTTCATGTTAACTTTCAACATCCCACCCCTGTCCGCTTCTAAGAAAAGAACATTGATTGTTTTAAAGCAAACTTGGATTTGGTACAATCTTCTACAACATCCTGCTTAAAAGGCAATTGCATTTTAATGAAGATTGCATTTCTGGAACACATCGAAGGCTAAATTTTACCATTAATTAATACCAAAAAGGATGATTTCTGCTTTTGTACAATTTGCCTACAGCAATAACTGAATGAATGGAATACTTTTCATTGTTAAGTCTTCTATTATCCGGGAACACTTACCTTAGCCAGCCAGTAGAATGGGAACCACGACAGGAGCAGATCCGAGAAGAATTCACACACAGAGAACAGGGCAAAGACAACCCAGTAAGTCAGCCAGCGTGTGTCATCTTCCTTCCTCACAGATTCGAGGGCCTGTTGGAGAGATACATTAAGTGATGCAGTAAATTCATTTGATATACAAAAGATACAAAAGGTGTTGCAATGAGTTCCTGTTATATATATTCATGTGACATTCAAATTAAGATATCATTAAGTGAAAAATAAGTGTTTGTACTTTGATACTGCAGTATGCAGGGTACACAAATCCAATGGCATTGCAGATCAACTGAGCACCCCATCCGAAGACCAGGTATACACTGGTTAGAGCAAGGGCACCTGAAGAAGAAAAATATAAATAAATTTCCAAATTAATTATAATACTGGCAAACAAACACTGACAACAACAGACATTGGAAGGAGGGGGGGGGGGGGGGGAGGACAAGGAGTCTTGACAATGTTATGATCTTTTTCTGCATAAACATTTTAAGCCCCCCCCCCCCCCCCCCCACACACACACACATACACACTTTCCAAGGGCTACATTTCATTTTATATGCTGTATCCAGATGATAATATACTGTTCTGTGCTCATTTTTTTATATTTTTGTGAAATGTCCCTGTTACTAGATGGCTCTGCTAGTGCTTAGCCATAAAGGATTTCACCTTTCCTTGAATTGGCACGAAAACCGTATTTTTACTAGTGCTATAAATATAGATGGTGTTATTTTTATTATAAACATTATAACTACTAAAATGTTATAAACATTTATAACAAAATAAGATAACGTTAAATATTTTCATAAATCGATGAAGAGGGTGAACAGGCGAGACAGGCGGTACTCGTAACTGGCTCACGGGTGATTTAGTACAAGTGTAGCCATCTATGTCTAAAAACAATTAAACAAGTAAACTTACAATTGGCATGGCATGTACATACTTACCATGCCTGTCGGCAAAGGTTTAATTAACAAGTTGAAAATCCCATTATTAAGGAACACTGAAAGAATCTATATAATATAAAATGCCCATAATTTGACAAGTTAGAACAAGTATTGGAATTCCTCTTACCATACTTCCACATAGGTATGTACTTTTCCTGTGTGAGATTTGACAACCTTGGATCATTCACAATATCCTTTGCAGCCCAAATAATTGCATCTGGTATTGACATTTCAACTTCTCCCTCCTTCTTGCCCTTTACGTTTTCCTTGGTCATTTTGTCAGCTTTTTCCCCCAGGTCTCCTAACACTACTAATATGTAAAGCACTTGATTTGATGCTGATGCTGACAGTGACTGGACTGAAAGACTAG